AAAAAAACCATATTAACTCAGCCCATCCCTGCCTAAACATTGAGCCGAAAACAAGAAGCCAAACACCTCAAAATCATGCTCCCAACACCAACCAACATATGGCCCTACCTTGTCTCCTATAGTGGCCGAAATTCCAAGGTATAAAACACCAAAGGAAATTTCTCATCTTCTGACCTTGTAACCACCAAATTTCCCAAAATAATATTCCAAAATACTCTCATTTCACTTACTCCCTTTTTCCCCCTAGGTGGGCCGAAACACCCCATCCCAACCACCAATCCTTTACATCATATTATCCACCCCCTTTTGTCTCCTAAAGCTGCCAAATAAAAGTCCTTCTCAAAATCACTCAAATATCACCCAAAATTCCCCTTTATTCCCTAGTCCCAAATCCCACACTAATGGCCGAAACTTTCCACCTCAAATTCCCATCCATATCCTTTGAACTCATTCCACATAAGGACATAAACAAATATATGTTATTTTAAGTGATTTGAATTAGTAAGGTGCTTAGCATTTTCCTCCCTTTTTGCTTGTTTATATTTCGGCCACAAGCCCCCATTGTAAACCCATTGCATTTTCTCAATTTCTGGTAGTAATACATTTGTTGTATGCTATTTTTTAAAAAAAATCCTAATTTCTATATCTTAAGGTTGGTTACCTTAAGTGTGAGTGTTAGGTTCTAGTTATTTAATTGAGTGTGTAATATCTTAATTAAATTCTAGACTCAAACCCCAAGTGAGGATAAGAGTGTGTTATATCTCTTAAAACCTACTTGGTTTTTATCCCTTTCCCCTCTTATTTTCCCTTCCAAAATTTTGGCCCTCCTTAAAAGCACAACCAGCATCCCCCTTTTTCTCCCCTATTCTTATGCCTTTAAACCATCTCAAAAATTAACCCTTCAACCTCCTCCATATACTCGACCAGTCCACCCTCCTACCCTTCCAAACCTAAGCTTAAATATATCATTTGGTATCAGAGCCTAGTTGTTAAACATCTCTAAGGACCTATAACACACTTCCCTCCCTCCTTTATTTTTCCTTCCTATTTCGGCCAGAATCACCACCTCTCCTATTTCGGCCAAAATCACCACCTCTCCTATCCTCATTTCTCATCACCATGTCAAAGCAATCTCAAACCCTCACCAATGAAGAACTTCAAGCCTCCAACGATGCCCTGAAAGCTTAAGTTGAGTACTTAGCAAAGCAAGTGGCTCAACTCACCAAAATGAAGCTGAAGATGATGGACACCCCTGAAGAGAGTGATGAAGAACAAGAGCTGGAAACACACCCTACGGGAGATTCCAACACCAACACCGGAGGAAGCGTTCATGAAAAACGAATCACGGACTTCAAGGTTGACCTTCCGACATTTGAAGGCAAGAACGACCCCGATGAATTTCTAGAGTGGCTCGAGACAGTTGAGCGTGTCTTTGATTTCAAAGACGTGCCCGAAGACAAGAAAGTGAAGCTTGTTGCCCTTAAGCTTCGGAAATATGCATCAACATGGTGGACCAACACCTCCACCAAAAGAAGGCGTGAAGGCAAGGCTCCCGTAAAGACGTGGTTAAAGATGCGTGCCTTGATGAAGAAGAAGTTCCTACCCGAACAATATGTGAGGGATAACTTCGCACGGTTACAACAGCTAAGGCAAGGCACTCGGACAGTGGAGGACTATACCCGGGAGTTTGAAGAACTTTTGATGAGGTGTGACCTCCAAGAAGATGACTCGCAAACGTTGGTCCGTTATTTGTTTGGGCTTAACACACAAATCGCCAACGTGGTGGAGTTACAAACCTACGACACCTTTGAAGAACTTTCCAAACTAGCTCTTAAGGTTGAGTCTCAACTTAAGAGAAGCAAAACCCCTTTTGGCCGTCCCCCTCCCTTCTCAAAAAACACACAAACTACACCCCGTACCACCCCCTATGCCACGGCCCAAAATCCCTCCTCTAAACCCAACTCCATCCCTTCCACTTCCAATAATCCGCCACCCCCAAAAACCACCCTACCCAACACCCGAG